CGAGGCCTTAAAAATGCAGTTCTGTTTCTTAGATGTCAATATCAAAGATGCCATAGTTTTGTTTGTAAGGATAGGAATTTGCCCCAGTTCCTTTAGTTAAAAATGCCATAATTCCCCCTTTTCCCCAATGATTGTGCAGTTTGCTACTCATTCTGCTGATTGTGATGATAAATGCCACTGGTGGTGGTGGTGGTTTGTTCTTATCCTTGTGATCAGTTTGTGCTCTTTTAACCTGGAGGAAAGGATAATGCAGCTATGATGTTGTTCAATAATATTGGTTCTCTTTGGTTAGTACTCAGTAGCGTGACACCATAATACTGTTCAGGGCAGATCTTTGCTGGACAATTCCCCACACTGGACATGGCAGCAGCAGCAGGAGTGGAAGTAAAAGCAACATGATGCTCTTCTAAATGCCTTTTGCTGGATATGATAGGATTTGCAAAGCCTCTGGAAGTTGCTTTGTCCATCTCTGGTCTCCATTGTGGTTTGTGTTGTGTTTTGGAACTGATCTGTGCTGCAGTTTAAGGGGCTGAGTTTCAAATCCTGTGTGTGCTCAGATCTCTGTAGTACACCATACTTTAGCAAGCACCATGTCGGCGGGGATGGGCTTTTCAAAGGATGAGGCGAGGTGCGATGAGTTGTTACATTTCCATCTGATAATTCCTTGCAGTATCTACAGGAAAAATAGTGATGGGGTGCCACTTAAGACTGTGGCTGCTTGGACCGTGAGGAAGGAGTGGGTGGCAGGTAGAAACCCCTTTACAAAATCCTAGTGATGTATGTGCCACTGAAATTTGTGCATACCCGCACCTTGGCCACAAATGCAGTTCTGATTTTTATACCTGCTCAGCAGTGCACATAAATAATTGGAAGGGGTACCGTGTGGATGTGTGATGGTTGCTGGGTAGGTGTAGGCACAAGCATCATTTAAAAACATGGCAGCAGGTTGAGTAGATGAGACTTCCTTGGGATAGAGAACACATACGGAAGGGTAAAAAATTACATTGGGTCAATAGCTGGTGAGGTTGTGAAGTGAGCTCTCTGCCCAGCAGATCCCTTCCAGCAACCCAGTTATTCAGGAGTCTAATTGCTTAGTGGTATTTATACAACAAATGAAGCATCCAATTAGCTCCAAAGTGTTCCAAAGGCAAGATATGCCAGCCCCCATGGTGTTTGTGTTCAAACACTCATTCCCTGTAAATGTCTGCTCTGCTTCATCTGGCAACATGTTCAGAGCAAGCTCCTGGTATAAGAATGGCACTTTGGTACAGTGTTCCCATTCTTTTCGGATTTGATATATCTGATTGCACTGACACATTATGATAATGTTTCTTTATATACGTAGCTGCGCTCTCTTGGGGGGGGGGACAGGGATAGCTCAGTGGTTTGAGCTTTGGCCTGTTAAACCCAGGGTTGTGAGTTCAATCTTTGAGGGGGCCATTTAGGGATATGGGGCAAAAATTGGGGATTGGTCCTGCTTTGAGCAGGGGGTTGGACTAGATGACCTCCCGAGGTCCCTTCCAACCCTGATATTCTATGATTCTCTTTTTGGCTCAAGTCACAGCATTCATGGCACTGCGCCACAGCAAATTAATTTTGCAAATAGGTGTGTAATGGCTCAGTGATCTGTTGCCAAATTCCAAGTCATTCTAGGGTGATTAAGTCTAGGCCAGAAAAGTTTATGAATTTTAAGATTAATAAATGGGAAAGAAGCATGGTTCGAGCACAGGGACGGGATTCAAGAGTTCTGCCACTGCCTCACTGTCAGAAAGGTGATATCCCTGCTCGTGTAGACGTACTCTTCTTGAGCTGGCGTGCTAACCATAGGAGCGTGGTTACAGTCGGGCAGCAGCAGCAGCGTGGGTTAGCTGCCCCAAGTACGTACCTATGGGGCTCCGGTAGGCGGTTGTACATGCTGCCACTGCTCCTGCCGCTGCAGCTATGCTACTGTTTTTAGCCTGCCAGCTCCCCAAGAGTCAATGACAGGGGTGTCCTTACCCAGACGCAAAGCACGCAGCTGTGGACGGCACCAGGAAATGTGGGGCGCCAAATTTCCTGGTGCCCTGCGCAGCGGTGTGCTGCTCCAGCCCCTGCTCCGACCTCTTGCCCGTGGCCCCGGCCCCGCCCCAGCCCTGCCCCCACTCCCCTGAGGAGTGCAGCAGGGCAGGACCTGCACTCATGGCGGTGGGAAGTGCAGCAACCCAGCACCAGCCGTGCCGCTGGTGAGTGCTGGGGGGGTGGTTCCCCCCGCCCTACAAGCCAGCCCCACCCCCTTCCCTCCCACAGAGGCCTGCCCCGCCCCCCAGAGACCTGGGGCCCCACATGCAACCCCCCCCGCAGGGGGGGAGGGGCTGCGTAGGGCCCCAGAATAGCTGGGGATGGCCCTGGTCAATGATAGAGGCTCATTGAATTCGTTGGGAGCAGCAGCTGACCCTTAACTTCTGTGTGCCCCCATGGTAAGATGAGAATGAGAACACTAACCGGCCTCACAAGGACATTGCGAAGCTTCATTAATGAATATTTGTTAAACAGTCTGATATCTCTGAATGAAAGGCATTATAGATGAGTAAAGAGTTGTTATAATTAATTACATACAAAAATTATATTCGAATATTCAAAGCACTCATATGTTAGGTAATGCCAACATTTATATTTCCCATGTGACCTTAACTCTGCCCTCTTATGCACATGCATTATGATATAGTATTTAATTACATGATCCCGTAGTACTTTTACCCCAGGGCCCCTGCTTCAGTGAGTGCAGAGGATGGATGTTCCTCAATGAATGAAGCAGCTATACAATCTTCTTAATGTAGGACCAGATACAGAGTCCACTGAAAGACTTGCATTGACTTCAGTGGGCTTTGAACCAGGTTTTCAGTATGTGGATTTATACTTCAGAGACTTCACACCATGCAAACCCTGCCCTGAATGACTAAGGAACTGATTATGACTCTTATGGACAGGGTTGTTTGGGCAAACTCAGTATCAGTATCACCAAATGGCCCACCTATAATAATAAGATAAATTTAAAAAACAGATCTGGAAGCAAACCAGACAGATTTATTTTCCCTACTTGTGATATTCATCTGGAACACTGGAGAGGAAAAAATATGATTGCAGTAGCAAAAGCCAAAAATATATCAGGATAGCAAAACTGTTTGATTACAATGGGTAAGGCAGTTGATTTTTCTCTAACTAAATGTGTGACAGAAAGAAACAGAGATCTAGGTGCCACTCAGAATGGGAATCAATTGATATGATGTTGGAAAAAGTAAATATAAATAAGCAAAAGAGAAAATTGGCAACCCAGTATTAGCACAACAGGGTAAACAGGTGTGTGTAAATTCAGTTACTCGTTCCTAGATTAAAAGGAGGAAGGGCCAGGAGCTCTGTGGAGATAACAAAAAGGAGAGGGAATTCTTTGCATCGCTCTCCAGCAGTCCTCCTGGTCACTGCAGGAAGTTTGATGACAGGTGCTGGAGTGGTCTATATCCACGGGGGGAGAGAGGCCTTCAGAAAATGTAGGGGGTTGACAGAAGGGGAAGAGGGATCCAAAGTATCTTCTTGATATTAGTCTCAGCATGGATCTCTCTAGGACATGGATTGGAAAATGCCACCTGAAGCAATGAAGGTAGGTCCTGCCTGTATGCCTTACATCTAGTCGAATCATGGTATTTTTAGAGGCTCTGAGCACAGAGGTGCCAAAAAATATTCTGAATGGATGTGTCCACTGTCAAAGAAATACATCCCACCTTGTAGTATTAATCCAGTTTTGATTGGAGTGGGGACAGATAGGGAAATGCTCCTTATTTCCTCCTGTTTTTTTCTCCCATCAAAGTGACCAATCAAACGATGCAATCTAGCAACAAAGAGGATGGAAAATCTGTCCTTGAAAGAGCCTCTTCTCTATGAAAGAAGATTTACTTTGAGTTACTGTTGTCTTGATGCACCCCAGATCTACCTAAGCAATTTCCGCCTGTGCTAAGAACAGACCCCAAAAAGGACAATAATGGGCCTTAAATTAAAAAGTTTTTTAAAAGCTGATGTCTAGAATTAAACTGAATAAGAACCTCTGTCATAAGCCTCTTAAGCCAGAGTAAGATGCTCTCCAGACTCACACAGAGGGAAGTCATTGGAGAACTGCCTTTCATGCTTTTACAATGCTGCCTCAGTAGGAATTTCTAGGTCATAAACATTGAGTCTTATTCTTTGCTCAAATACACCAATGTCACTCCAGAATAATTACATTGAGGCCACCGTTTTTACTGAAAGCAAAATCTGGCCCTGGACTGGATAGTATCTCAGGGGTTAGCACGATCACTTTCTGCTTCAGTCCCACGCAGGGTGATAGGTACAATCAGTGCCATGAACCCCAGCTGCATTTAGGTCTTTAAGGTTGTCACCTTCTATTATTTTCCCGGTGGCCAATTTATCAGCTTGTGATGGATGTAAGGTTCTCTTTTTTGTAGCACGTTGCCAGTGAGATAAAATACTTACTATCACAGTGTGTGTCATGCCTCATTTGCCAAAAAGCCGTACAGTTTTTAGTCAGGGCAATGCCACCATTTACATGGTGCAGGGCTCTAGAGTGGCATTTATTTATGATCATAAAGTGTTGTAAACTCAGGCTTGCTAGAATTTATTTTTCCTTATCATTGGGTGTCTGTATTTATTTTATAAGTGTTGTTAAGGAATATATAGTAGGAATATAATCTAATATGGGTGGAGATTATTAGGCGTAATGTAGCTGCTAATCAGAACTTTGTTATCTGTATGGGAACATGTTTAAGAGCTTCCTTGAGGTAGGATTTATTAAAAATGCTAGCTATTACAACAGGGAATGACTATAGGATCTCCTTAAAGCATAGCATCTGAGAGCTAATGTCTGCACAGACAGACTGTCTTTGATTGTGCCTTACTTTTCCCTTTAGAAGTTCAGTCCTTTACACAGATCAAGGTAAAAATACATGGTCAAGTAATACAATCTTATGTTTTAGGTGACACTTGCACAATGGCAGACTACAGCCGTCTTAAAAGCATACTCCTGGACCTTCAAGCTCATCACCACAGCCAGCTGAGCAGCCCTGTAGAGGACAGAACATCCCAGAAGCGCTTGTTAGTTGAAGACATGTTTAAGTACTTGGATATAAACAGTGACGGGCACCTCAGCAGCTCTGAACTGGCTCAGGTGGGTTTATCGCTCAATGAAAATTGGATTATGAAATGGATTGCATTTTTCATTCAAAGTGTAAATTGAATATAACACAGCCAAATTCTTGTGAGAATAGTTGTGTGTAACTGTTTGTCTAACATTAGGTGAAGGAAGAAAATTCTACTGTAGTATATAAAAGGTCTTTTCCCCTCCTCCCTTGGGAGACCGAGGCATTTTCTCAAGCAGTTTAGGATACTTTACAAAGAAAAATATGGCAGTTTATCCAGGTCTCTCACCATCCCCTCCAAAAATAAATCCCTCGCTATTTACAATCATTCCTTAAATTCTTCCAGTTTGCTGACAAATATAGACTTAATTTGCATTTAAAAATAGATTTAAATTAGAAAATGAAGCTTGCCCCTCCACCACCTTCCAAACACTGCATTAGTGTTACAGTAAGTTTAAAATATTTGAACAGCTTTGTTCCCCCCACATCTCTTTGCAGTTACTGAAGTCTTGATTATTGAACATAATAAAATGAGAGAAGATGCAGAGTCTGCAAAAATAATAATCTTTAATTACCAACATGCTATGCTGTTTGAATTAATCTAATTGGTAAAGTTAACCAAACATGGAGCACTGAGAGTTGAACTGATTTCCATGTGTACTCAAGGTGCAATCAGTTTCCAGCAGGTGCCAGAACGGAGGTACTCAGAGAGTCCTGACCATGGAGGTTACCCTGACCTGAGCTTGGTACCCTATGTACCAGCAAGAAGGATTTATATACTCTGTGTTCCTTTCGCCAAAGCTTGCTGGCTGCTGGCTATGAAGCAAGAAGAGGAAGGCAATCACACTACACAACACACAGCATTAGATACATCACATGTTCTGTGCCAGAACACCATCACCCGCTAAACATGTAAAGGATCTCCAGGCAGCCTGGGCCCCAGAGGTGTAGTAGTCAGCTCACAATGGATGGATGTGCCCTAGCACTCACCTACCATGCCTCAGCCATGGATAAATAGTCCCAGCCATAGACTAAATGGTGAAGGTGGCTATCCTTTGGAGCAGAGAAGCATAACTTCTCAAAGTGACAAATTAGATCCTGGCTATGGGTCAAATAGCTGCATCCAATCCAGTGACCCTGCTTGCTGCAGGTTTCTGTACCAGTTAGTCATTTGGCTGGCTGGGATGAGAGAGTGGGATTGGCCAATGCACAAACCCCTCCCACTTAAACCCACTGCCGGCAGGAAGCTTGTCTCCCGAGTCTTAAGTCCTGCTGTGATGCAGGAGTGGCAGACAGAGGATGCTAGTGGGAGACTAGTGGTGGTGTGGATGTGATGGTCACTTGTCATAGACACTGGAGTAGTTGCGTTTGTATCCTCAGAGCAGCCCATTTTGGGGACATTGCTGCTCCCGCCCCCCTCCCAATCCAGGAAAAGGGGAGAAAAGTTGTTTGTGTGTTCGTAGACTTTTAGCAGGGCATTGCCTGTCGAAAAAACTGGGGTTGGGATTTTAGGAGCTCCAGTGTTAGAAAAGTGTTCAGAGAGTAAATAGTTGCATTCTGAATGGAAGGTGAGCATCTTCCGAAGAATTGTTAAAGAATAAGAATTCTCTCCTGTAATGTTGGATTTGAGTGCATCATAGAATGTTAAATGATAGCCATGGGCCGTGGGCAGAAGTGAGTTTGAAAAAGCCCACAGGGGAGCAAGCTACAGAAAACAATAACAGTTCCACAGGTCTCTTAGCACGTTTGTCTCAGCTCACCTAATTAAAACCACAAGAGAATTTTAAAATTAGGGAAACAAACTCAGAATGTTTGTAATTAATTATCTGTATATATTTACTATTCTATTATGCTTTACATGAGAATAATTAGAAGCAAATGGCTCTTAGGAAGCCACTTCAGTTGCAAAAGTTAGCATTTTATCACTTCGCTCTAGATAAGTATCTCTAGTTCTCACTCTTCTGGGTAAGCATGTATGCTTTCAGCTTTATCATGAAAATGAATCCACTAGACAAATGGCAGGCTAGCAAGCTTACTCCTCTTATGAGTTTATTAGTAGGTAGAACAGTTTCCTGTAGCTTTAATCCTAATGCAGTTGACATGACATAAGATTAGACAATTCAAGGTGTCAGAGTAAATTTACTTAGATCTCATAGCTATGAATATATAAAGTAGCTGATCTAAATTTGATATTTTTTTTTAAGGAAAGGTGATGGATGTAAGACAATATCTTTATTTTACGCAGGCTGACACTTGATTGTCTGTTCTACTCTCATATTTCATTCTCCATTTATGTGACGCTTATTCCATCAGGACATTAAAACTGAACTTGCACTGAAAAAAGGTTTAGCCATTTATAGTTATTAGATCACACAGTGTAACCTCATTTGCTCCATATTTCTAGGGAAAAAAATAGAAGGCAAAACTCAATGAGCTAGTTTTTTGCGTAGGGTTTGGTTTATAATTAAGAATTAAGAAGAAGTACTATTTCAGTGAGGAAGCAGCAAGGTCTAGTCAGCACAAGAGTGGAAGTTGGAAGCTCCTGAGTTTTAAAATCAGCTCTAGCGTTAATATGCTGGGCAGCTTTGGGCAAGTTGCTATGGGTTTGATTTTCCAGGGTGCTGCGTATCCACATCTCCCAAAGGAGAACACGCTTAGGCCTTGTCTATGCTTGATAGTAGCAGATGTAGTATGTATTCACCCGCACTGCAACTGGAAGTGTGACTGCAGCTCACGTTGGCGTAACTGTACTGGCTTGAATCTAGCCAGCACGCCCCAAAATAACAGTAAAGATGCCGTGGCCCAGACCCTTAGCACAGGCTGACACTATGAGTATGGATCCAAGGTTCTGGGGGGGCTTATACAGCCCATGCTGACCCTTGTGCTGCTATGTCTTCCTAGCTATTTTTAGCCATGCTATCTAAATTATAGCTAGAATGGGTATGCCTATCCAAGTTGCAATCAAACCTTCAGTTGCAGTGTCGATATAACCTTATACTTATATACCAGAATAGCTTATTCTTTTTCAGTGACATGAAATAATCTGTACTATAACTGCACTGCATATACACTAGGGATTTTACCAGCATAACTATGTCTGTTAAAAAATCATACCCCTAACTGACGGAATTATGCCAATAAACCTTTTTCAATATAGACCAGGCCTTATGGTAATCTTTGGTCCTTGTGTATCAGTTACAGTGGTACCTAGGCATTCTCTTACCCAGTGTCCTCTTCACCCCTCCCTATTGTTTACAAATGACTGGCAACAGATGAAGCAAGAGAGAAAAGATCTAGAGCGCTGGTAGTGGAAGTCTGGTGCTGAAATGGACTCCTGGCATTGCAACAATGCTTTTAAAGTTATTTTTAACTCTCATGCCATCGCTGACTTGCAGGGTATGCTATGTGGCCAGTTTCTTTCCCAGGGATTTCGTAGGGAGGGATCTATTTAAATTTCCCTACTTTGTGAACTCAACTAATTTGCCTGCTTTGCTACGTAGGTTGGTGTTTGATCTGAGCTGGGTCTTTTAATTTGTAAGAGTTTTAAATCCGAAACTCCAAAGACGGGCGCTTTGCTGCAAAGCAGAAGTGGTAAATAAAATAAATGTGGTGCTGTGGGAGATACTGTGATCGCATTGTCTATGGCCAGCACAGAAGTTGGTACTTCTCGTTTCCTTTCATTTATTTAAAAGGGAAAATTGGCTGCAGGGAATCACAATCTCACCTGCTATGGTAGAGCAGCAAGGTAGAGGCACTGCTGTAAAAACCAGGCTCGTTTGTTAAGTTGATTGTCAGGATTAAAGGCTACATTGTAGCATTTAGGCATAGCCCTTCTCCGGGGGCAATGTGCAGCAGCACTGTCCCAGGAGGAGCAGTGGAGGCAGAATGCGTCCCAGAGCCCTGCAGTGTGGAAGGAATGCAGCCTCTTGGAGGAGTGCAGCATACAACTCCTAGAGCCTCCAGCCAACTCCACTGGTCATCCACTCCCACCGCCTCATCGACTCTCTTCTCATCCCCTCCTGCTTTGGAGCATCATCCATCCCTGAGGAGCATTACCTGTGCATTGTACTTCTGCAAGTCTCTTATATAAACTCCGCAAGGGGGATGGCTCCTTATTCCATCCCACTCCCACCATGCACTCATGTAAGGGCTAGACAGAAACCAGCCCTAAGAGGAGGGAGAATAACTTTGCCAGTTTGTTTATTAAATTCAAATCAAACAATTCTTGTTCAGTGAGAGAAGATCCTTGGAAATAAAAAATGAAGAAGTATGGTCACATTTTCTCCTTTTAGGGCCTAATCCGACTCCAGCCATAGTCAATGGAATGACGCTACTGAAGTTTCCTTCTGAGCTCATTACGGTGAAATATCACAAAAACTTCAGAGTTGTGGATATACAAAGCTATTAACAACTGTGGTAACTGGAATGTTATTTCCATTTAAAACTCCAATGTATTTTAAAGTCATTTTCATAAATCTACTGAATACATTGCAGCTAACACGGGTTATTTTTTTTCTTCTGACATGAAATCAAAGGAGCTAGTAAAAACTTGTCAGTCATATGAAAAGTTAATACATTTTCAATATAAAAGAAGACAGGGAAATTTCTATCTTTAGAAGATTGAGCTCTGAAGTTATGGTTGATCTCACTTTTATTGAACATTTTTACTTGCTAGGTGAAGGGTCATTTTTTTAGCATTATTACTTCAAATTGCCTTTAATACAATAAGGCCAAGACTAAAATTGTAAATAAAGGAAAGATTCTTAAAGATTTTTCTGCCCTGAATATTCTACATTTCAGCAGTTTTCTTTATACTCTCTTATAAATTGAAAGATCCTGTCGTTTACATTATACTTAATTTTAATTATTAATCTTTGAATTAAGTGTTTGCTAAAGCTCTGTCCATATATAGAATGGAATGTGTAAAGGGTTTATATATATTCTAAAGAAACAACTGTCAGAGGTAAAACATATGTTGAGAAATAAGTGTATATAGTACATATGCTTTTGGCTGTTGTCTATACTAGTCATAAAGACAAGTAATACAATTTTGTCCATATCTAAGATTATTTTTACCTTTAAGTTTTCCATGTTGAATATTTTGGATACACTTGCAAGGAGATATTATTTCATTAGAGAAAAGATGTCCAGCTCTGTTCTCATCACATGAAGCGCTGTGGAGAGATCATTTCAAGTCACCTAAAGATGGCACTTTGTTAAATAGAGTTTGAGTAGTACATAAAGGGCACTTTCAACTAGTATAAATAAAACATTTTTTTGGGGGGGCAGTATTTTTGGAAAATGCTGATTTGTGGAAACTGAATTTTTGGTGGAAATGTATCACTCTCAACTAAACTTTTGTTGGGAAGGTTCCTCAGCATGCCATTTCCTGTCAAAACCAGAGAGAGCGCCAGCCCTCGGAATAGTTTCATAGACTTTAAAGCTAGAAGGGACCACCATGATCATCTAGTCTGACCTCCTGCATGTTGCAGACCACAAAACCTCCCCCACCTATTCCAGTAATGGGCCCATAATCTCTGTCTGAGTTATTGAAGTCCTCAAATCATGATTTAAAGGAGAGGTGGGGAACCTACAGCTCATGGGCAGGTTCATTGTTCATCCATCCTGTGGGCCACACACATTCAACTCACCTGCCCGGGGGCGGGCAGGGGAGGTAGGGGTGGGATGGACTACTCAGGGCTGCCCCCCACCGCAGGGCAAGCCGGTGCCTGCGGGGCTGGAGCTGTGAATGCGGGCTCACCCCACTATGGGCGGGAAGCCCCGAGCCTTCGTTCCCCCCCAGGCAGGTGAGTTGAACATGTGTGGCCCGCCACTGATGTATATATATATATATTTTGGTGGGTCAATGGCCCCTGATACAAAAAAGTTTCCCCACCGTTGGTTTAAAGACTTCCAGTTACACACAATCTGCTATTTACTCTAGTTCAAACCAACAAGTGACCTGTCTCCCATGCTGCAGAGGAAGGCAAAAAAGCCCCAAGGCTCTGCTAATCTGACTAGGGTGAATATTCCTTCCTGACCTCAAATATGGTGATCAGTTACACTCTGACCATGAGGGTGAGACCTGCCAGCCAGACACCTGAGAGAGAATTCTCTGTAGTGACTGACAGCCCTTCCCATCTAGCGTCCCATCACCAGCCACTGGGGATATTTGCTACTAGCAGCCATAGATCTGCCTATTGATGGCCTGTCAATCCATTTTTTTGTGTGCCATTTTTTTATATCCATTTTTTTGTGTGCCAACATTGTCCCATAATTTACATAACTCTTCTCCCTTCCCAACCTTTTATCTTTCTGATATATGTATAGAGAGCAATCATATCTCCCCTCATCCTTCATTTTGTTAGGCTAAATAAGCCAAGCTCTTTAAGTCTCCTCTCATAAGATAGGTTCTCCAATCTCCTAATGCACTGTAGCACAACTTTTACTGGCAAAAGATTTCATTTTCATGTTAACACACCGCATGCTGCACAAATATCCAGGTCCTATGTTGAATCTTATTATAAAGCAAATATGGTAATTTCTTCCCATTGTGTTTAGGATTCTTCTTCCTGCAGCAGGCCCATAACCTCTATTAATCTTAAGCAAATGTCTACACCTTAAATTTGATTTTTCATGGTTGGGAAATATTGAAAAGAAAGACCAATAACTGTACTTTGAGTTCAAGAGAAAATGCAGCATTCACTGGCGTTGCTTGATCCACATATTGTGAGCAGTTGATGCTTTCACATCATATAGACATATTGTAAATTGCTGCAAGGCTAGATTACTTTATAACGAAGGGTTGGAGGACATGCCTTTTTTATTTCTTTCTTCCAAGTTTAGAGGTCCACACATGTCACAAGAGAGAATGTTCCTGAAACAACTGAGGGTAAAAGAGTTCAGTGAGTCGGTAATAACTATCAGAAAAAGCCAAAGGAATAACAACCAAAATATGAATTTACTCAAGTGATATAAAGCATATACATTCCATTTATGACATTTAATTCCTTTTTATTAATATACTGAGATGGTGATATTACATTGACATGAGTTAGCGTTTGTGGGCTTCATTTCTTCAGCTAGTCCCCCAAATAGAAAAGGAGGACTTGTGGCACCTTAGAGACTAACAAATTTATTGAGCATAAGCTTTCGTGAGCTACAGCTCGCTTCACCGATGAAGTGAGCTGTAGCTCACGAAAGCTTATGCTCAATTAAATTCGTTAGTCTCTAAGGTGCCACAAGTACTCCTTTTCTTTTTGCGAATACAGACTAACATGGCTGCTACTCTGAAACCAGTCCCCCAAATACTAACCAAATTTATTAACAAACAAAAATCTTTCTAAGGGACCTGATCCTGCAAGCAGATGCCCTGCAGAGGACTCCAGCAACTGTGCAGAGCCACAATGAGTTTAATGCATCTGTACAGAGGTAAAGGTGCAGTGTTGGGGTCTAAGTTCTCCTTCTCCTCTGAGTCCCCCAGGTTGCAAATGTTTGTTTCCTGTAGCCAGATTCTGTCCCCATTGATTTCAAGGGGTGCAGTATTGGCAGTTGAGTTCATAAGTTTCTTTGGGGAAGGGATCTTTGGTAAAATTTTCAAAAGTGCCTGAATCATGTAGGAGCAGTGGGTACGTCTATACGGGGATAAAAAAACACCTCACAGGCTTCAGGTTGCAGGGCTGAAAAATCACTGTGTAGACTTTAGGGCGGGAGCCTGGGCCCCTGAGAGGGTGGATGGTCCCAGAGCTCAAGCTCCAGCCCAAGCCCAAATGTCTACACAGCATCTTTTATCCCTGCAGCCTGAACCCCATGCACCTGACCTGGGTCAGCCATGGCCCTGCCGCAGGGCTTTTATCCCTGTGCAGACATACCCTTAGGCACACAGGAGAGTCAACTGGACTTAGGGTCCGACATGCAGAAATTACTTTTGGAAATGTTCCCCTTAGTGACATAAGGGGAGATTGTCAAAGGAACAAATGGCAGTTAAGTGCCCGACTGCCACTGAGTTTGAAAATCTCCCCCTCAGTGACTATAAGTGACTTAGATGCTTTTGAAAATGAGACTTAAGCCTCATAAGTGAATTGAACACTTTAAATAAAATTAGCCCCTATTTCTATTCATGCAGCAATAAACTAGAAGTGGCCAAAGCAATGGGCTACCTGTGCTTTAGCCCCCTACGCTAATATACTGTAAATAGCAAAGAAACAATGTCATCTGTGCCAGGTGCAACTGTTCGAAACAAGTTCATCAGAGGACAGGTATTATCCTAAAATATTACCCTTGTATCTTACATTTCATGGAGTCTTCAGTAACAAATTAATTCACTTCACCAGCTGGAATATCTGGGTGCAAGAATTATACTGCTAAGAAAAAAAGTCACAGTTATGATAAGCCCTGTTCTACACCCATGCTGATAAGGAATGGCTGACATCCTAGACCCCTCAACAGTCAATTCACAACCAGTTGCCTCATAAATTACAATAGATGGCTGCAAAAAATTTCAGATAGGACTGTAAAGATGAAAAACAGGAAAATAAAAATACCTGCATTGATTTCAAGATAATGGTTTTTAATACTTGTCAAATTTAAACCCCTTGCTAGTTGTGATGTGCACTACATCTGTTAGGATCCCTTAATATTAAATTTACACCATTCTCGGTTTTTGGGGCATATCATTTTTATTTGTTGAAATGGTAAATTTTCTTTCAAAATTACAATGTGTCGCAACTCAGCATTAGTATAACTTTCTGTTCCCGCAGCTAATGGAGAAAGAAGCTGTAGAGGATGATTTCTTGGATTGCACGCTGGAAGATCTTCTCCGATTTGATGATTACAACAATGATGGTTACTTAACCCTGCAAGAACTCTATACTGCATTCCGTAAGTCATGATGCTCTTTCCCCCCTCTCCTTTGCAATGACAAAATGTGGCTTACAGTCCAGGTGTTATATGAATATCCTTTAGGACAATGTTCTGTCTCCAGAAATGTGTGTATGAAATAGCTGTTTTCATTTTGAACTTTCCATCATATGTGTATGCGGGGGGGGGGAGGGTGTCAGCATTGGCGGGGGATTGTTTCCTTAAGGTAAGGTGTGCTTACCAGGAAATAACTGAATTTTATGGATTTGATAAAGAGATACAGGCAATGGACTATTTTGTTGGCTTTCATTGTGCTTCTTGTTAATGGCATTTAAAAGATATTGCTGGATTACTGGAAATGTAAGTAGAACATGTATGTAGTCTTTAGGAAGCCAGAAGGAACAGTGCTTGTAGGATTTGCCACTGAATTTTCTCAAGAACTTTTTCAGGAAACCTGGCTAACCACAGAGTGAGAATAGCTGTTATTTTAGGGGTGAGAAAAGTAAGGCTTTTCCCCTGCATCTTCTGCCTGAATTCAATACCTTTTATTTCCACCTTTGCTAATGAATTGCCGTGTGATCTTGGGACAAATCTCTGTACCTGTTTAACCATTCGCAACATGTATACTGGCTCTGATTCAGCAAGGTGTACTTAAGCAGTGTGCAACTTTAAGCTCTTGAGTTATCAGTTATTTGCCTGGGTTGGTAAGTTTTATGGATTCTTCTTTGAATAATTAACAGATTCCATTATGAATCATGTATTGGTACTTCAAAGCTCACCCTTCTGATTTCTACCAAAAATAATAACACTTTTTGTGCTTAGACAAAGCTTGTTTATCTGAGTATGTTAAAGGCTTTACAAACATTAATGAAGTTTCACGCCCTCCCTCTGAAGGGTAGATATTATGGCCCTTATTTTAGCAAGATATGTCTGTATGTGCATAACTTGAAGCATGTAGGTAGTGCTCCTGAAATCAGTGGAACTAGGGGCATTTCTAACAGGATTCTGACCTTGTCAGTTTAACATTTGTAAGATAAAAATGATTTCAGCGGGTGCTTCTGCCTCTTATTCCTCTTTACAAACTACAGAACTGCAAAGTAAAAGCTCAATACTACCTCCCCCCCCCCTTACTCACATTAAACATAGTACCTTGCTCCATGAGTGGTCCCAATGACTACTCATAGAATTAAATTCTATGCTCATCATAAGTAAGGGCAGCAGAAGTGGGCTCTGAGTCACTTGACATCTCCTGAAATAGCATGCTAATGTTCAGTATTATTTGTCCATCTAGAGTAATAAGGCAAATGGAATCACCTTAGAATTGCTGCTTCCACAGATACTCATCTTTTCTAAAGTGAGTGGCTTCTGTTATGTTCATTTCAAGTTTTAAATTAAAAAAGGTTTGGGATAATAATTTTTAAAGTGCTCTAAAATTAGTCCCAGCTGGCACCTTGGACCTGTTTTAAACCACATATGCATTTAATTCATCAACTCATGCTGCAAATAATAGATATGCAATAAAACATAAAACCTTGTACATTAAGAAGACTATAAAGTGAATTAACCCAGCTATAAAGACTTGACATGCAGTTACTTGGGAGCATATCTGGATCAATGGGTTTTCAAAGTCACAGGAACCCTAAGCTAAATTCTAATATTGCTTTAAATGGATTTGTAGTTCAGTGAATTTTAAATAGGTAATGAAAATCAGACAGGTGTGAGATACTACCTAAAAAACAGTCAGTAATTGATAAGTATTCAAAAATGTCTGTAGTATTACTTCTTGGTTTTCTTTAAGATATTTCAAAAGAACTTACCGTGGAAAAAATATTCTCCATCCAAACAACAAAATTAGCCCATTTTATGACTTTATTCTCCATTTTGGATTTCCCCAAAAAACCTGCTTTTATTAGGATAAGTTAATGGTTTGTCAGCATCCTGAATTAGAAAGTGGGATGGTTTATGTATCTGTAGAAACTTTGCAGCTTTTGTAAGTAAAAAGAAAATCCTGGTCAAAGTACAACTTTTCCTGGGAAATGTATTTTATTAATATGATCTTGTAGAATGCATTTCAAAAATGTTTGCTCTTCACGTAGTTGTCTTAGGTGCATAGTTTGGTTTTGTAATCTTTGCGTGTCTGAACTTTGTGTTAATCACTTCATTATGAGCCAGAATGTCAGTAATCCAAGCCAAAGTGCTGCTTTTAAAGGTACAACGTCCTCCCATCTTTTTCATAGGTGTGACCCAGTGCATTGGCATCTCTCTTGCTCAGATCCATATGAATTAAGTCAATCACTTTTGAATGATGGCAATAGGCTTGCAAAGATGGCTGTTCAACGGACTGTGAAATCTAATTATCAGAATTCAATGACATCATAAAGTCTGAATCAAATTTACCCTTCCCCAAAATTGTTCCGTTAAATTTGTCCCAATGCACCATTTACCTGTAGAATGCTCTAATCCAAGGGAGGTACAAAGATGACTTTGATGGTTTGAAGAGCTGAACTCTCCACTGTGTCACTCTTTTGTTGCTTTTAAAATCATAGTTCATTTTAAAAACTCCCATGGCATTTCTGTAAGAGCTACAAAATTGTCGGTCTGCCTCTCTCATGCTTGCTTGGTAGCTTTCTCTCTCTCCCTTCCTCCCCACTCTACTGTCCAGAAAGCATTTTTAACATTATGATATGCTGATCAGTTGTAAATGAATGCACCAGAGTAATTGCATAACTTATCTTTCCTGAAAAGTGGAATGGTTCTGGTTTCAAGCTACTAGTATCTAATAGGTACTAATTTAACAGATGTTTTAAATAAACTATTTACATACAAGTGTTGAATTAACTCTCACTTTTGGATTATGGGCAAAATAATGGATATCTCACTTTGTCTCTAAATGAATCATTCTATTCTGCTTTTCTGAAAGATACGTTGTCCTTTTAATTAATCCTCTGAGTACAATCCCTCTGAGTTTGTTTGCATTCATGTAAATTGCTCTAAATAGCTGTTAGCAAGGCAGAAAAATGCTTAATATTTAAATTCTTCCTGATCATACATAAATAACATGTCAAGCAGTATAAATATTTTCCTGGTGGGTCTTGCAAGAAGAGCAAATTGTGGGTGTCTTCCAATCTCTGATTATTGAACCTTATCAGACATCCAGGCTCAAGAGACATAGTGAAAAAAATCCCAGCTGTAACTTGATTATTTCAAGATGTCCACATCCCAGGAAATGTGAAGAACACTGGTTAGGTGCTAGCTTGGCTGTTTTATGTGTTTGTCTGCTTCTTACTTTCTATCTTTCTTTCATAAAACTCAACAAATGAATAACAAGTAGTAATAGGCCTAGCTGTTGTAAGAACTAGAGCAGAGAAAACATCTAATTAATAAGCATGGAAACAATCTAGTAATTTGGCAAGCATGTTACTCAGCTGAGTAGGATGTTGAACATGCCCAGATGAGTGATTTTTGGGTAGTTCTTCAGGAACTGTGTCAGACTGGAGGTAATTAAAATTAGGTATGTCATTACTGGCCTTACCTTTGTCATTCCCAAATGAGAGAGTAGAAGGTTGGCAGATGCAAAACTGTCTGGGAAAACTCTAGCTCTATATTATAACATCAATGTGGACAGGTCAATTAGTAATACAAATATGACAAAGACAAGGAAAACATGTATTCAGTCAAAATTGCTTTGTCTTGTCAATATTGCTTTAGTTAATAAGAGGTTATTAACAGTGAGATAGAAATCATTAGCTCATTAGGGTTTTTCAAACTGACATTCATTTTTGACAGCTTGGCTTTGCATTTCATTAGATTGTAGGAAAGCAAAAAACAGCCCTTTAGAGATTGCTTTGACTATCCTAAAACAGTTCCACTATTGCTGGTAGGTCACACTGGGTTTAGAGAGCTTTTGATTGAAGTTGCTCGATACAGTATGAATATGTCACGAGATCAGGTCAGAAATTATGACACAAGATAATTTCCAAATCTCAAAGCACTTATGGCTCTCAAAGGTTGCCTTCTGTGCCCTATGCTTGTCATTGGGCATTGTCAAAGTGGAGCCCTGGGAAAGCCTGCTATATAATAGTTTTTCTAGTACATGAATAGTGAGATTTTGAGATACTTGATGCTCTATCTAGGAAAAAAGGATTTGAATGAATACTTTTCAAAAGAAAAAAGTGAAATACTTGCTGTTCAGTCAATGCATTGATCATTCTTATCATATTTCAAAACATTTTACATATAAACACTTTATAGAGAGAGATACATATATCTCTAAGTACATCCACATTAAATGCACAGCTGTAGTTTGGGAGGAACAATCATTGCAGGAGAATGAACGAAGAACAAATTGCAGACAAGATCAGACTATTTTAAAGTACAAACTAGTGGCAGTAGAGCAGGAAAAAAGGGGGGAACAAATAGGAACCCTCTTGTCTATAAATGTAAAAATGTTTCTCATTCTGACTCTCATTCCCATGCTTTGTTTTGCAAATCAGTTTTGAATTTTTTCCCCCCCGTCCTTTCTGGTTCTAATTCAGTTCTAAAACTCTAATTCTTCACGCATCCCTAATGTGAATTAAAAATGCACAAGGGAGCTGTGTTTGCCAATGGAATGAACAAGTTTCCTTGGGCGAAATTTGGGAATGCTTTCACATTCTGAGCTTGTACACGCAAATTAGATCAATACAAATCTTATACGTTGTGACAACATGATTTGTCTGTGGATGAACAGGGAGTCTCATGAAGTAACTGTTATACAGAATCACCAAGAAGTTTTTAGACTTGGTAAATTTTATTTATTTTAACTATTTTAAGATTTGTGGGGTCAAAAATTTTTGGACAAAATTTGCAGTCAAAACCAGAGACTTTGATGTAAGAACCAATTTTGATGCTCTGTATCAGTTTGACTGTTTTCTCTTACTCTACAATATCAACTGCACACTAGTGCCAATGTATTTATATGTCAACTGCAAAAGCATAGTAATTTTTCCAAATACCTTTCATTTCAAAAGATACCAGCTGGA